AGTCTATTTAAACCCGTGGGAGACCCCTCCATTTTGGTCTTCAGCTGGCTAAGGAAGGAACCTCTCCACCCCTTCAGGATACTTGAAGGGAACTGGAACAAAAGACAGTAACTATAGGGGTTGTGAATGATTTCTGGACCCAGGTTAAAAGGAGATTAGCCTGTAAAAGGGAGCATTCTGGAACTGGTGAGGAACTTATCTGTATTTAGTTTGATTAGACATAGATTTGCGCATTTTATTTTATTTTGCTTGGTGACTTACTTTGTTCTGTCTGTTACTACTTGGAACCACTTAAATCCTATTTTCTGTATTTAATAAAATCACTTTTTATTTAGTAATTTACTCAGAGTATGTATTAATACCTGGGGGAGCAAACAACTGTGCATATCTCTCTATCAGTGTTATAGAGCGCGAACATTTTATGAGTTTACTCTGCATAAGATTTATACAGGGTAAAACGGATTTATTTGGGAGTTGGGCATCTGAGTGCTAAAGACAAGCAAACTTCTGTGAACTGTTTTCAGGTAAACTTGCATCTTTGGGGCAAGTGATTCAGACCCTGGGTCTGTGTTGGAGCAGATAGGAGTGTCTGGGTCAGCAAGACAGGGTGCTGGAGTCCTGAGCTGGCAGGGAAAACAGGAGCAGAGGTAGTCTTTGCACATCAGGTGGCAGCTCTCAAGGGGGTTTCTGTGATCCAACCCATCATAACTTATATATGCATGAACTAGCTTTCTGATTTAGCAGAAAGCACCAAAAACAGCACATAAATTACTCAATTGCTATGCACTTTTGATTCTTTGGCCCTGGGGATCATCTATGCACGCGACCCCAAAAAAACTGTATAGAAATTCGCATAAATCTATATCTAGAGCAGACCCTAAGCTGGTGTAAACTGTCATAACTCCATTGACTTCAATGGAAATTTTCACCAGCTGTGGTTCTGACCCCTGCTGTGTAGAAGAAAGCAAGGTATTCACCTCATGGTCATGGGCAGTCTGTCGCGTTCCATCTGAAACAAACAAAAAGATAAGATGATCTTGGAATGAAAGAGAACTGAAGGAGAAAGTTAGCTGTACAACCCAAAAGCACAACTACACAATCTGTCTAGTTATACTATAAGGGATTTAGCACACAGTATCTCTATCTACCTTAGGTTTTTCTAATGCACCTGTCACAAGGCACAGTAGTGTGTACATAAACCTAATCACTCTGCATACACACATGCACACTGGTCTAGGCAAACACAGAAGACTATGTTCTAAGCAGCGTAACAGTCACAGGGCTTTATAAAAAAGTGTTTGATATCTGCTAGTTGACTATATGCCTGGGATATTTTAGTACTCTAGCTAACAGTCTACTGTTTATTACTCTAGCTAACAGAGTTGCCATGCTGGGTCAGACCAATGGTCTGTTTAGCTCAGTATGAATAGAATCATAGGCCTTGGCTACACTTACCCGCTAGTTCGACGGCTGGAAATCGAACTTCTGGGTTCGACTTATCGCGTCTAGTCTGGACGCGATAAGACGAACCAGGAAGGGATCTCCGCCGACCCGCGGACTTACCT